TCTTCAGGTCTATCTCTGAATCTATGGGAGATATCGATTTTTTAACGAAAAATTTGGGGTCGGGGGCGGAGATAACGTTTTTTTGATGAAAAATTGGGGGGCCGGGGGAGCTCTTGAGGACTACCTCTGAAATTAAGAGAGATTCGACTTTTTAATGAAAATTTAGGGTAGGGGGAACCCCAATTTTTCGTTGAATAATCGTTATCTCTTTTAGTTTTGGAGACATTTCTCAAAAAGCCCCCCTCTCCCGGACCCTCAATTTATCATTAAAAATCACTATCTCTCTCAGTTCAAAGATATTTTTCGGAATTCCCCCCTCTGAACCCCCAATTTTTCATTAGAAAATCTCTATCTCTTTTGTTTCAGATGGACTTCGAGAGAAATCTTTAAAAAGTCGATATCTTCCATAGATTCAGAGATAGACCTCAAGAGCCCCCCCTGCCCCCCAAATTTTCATTAAAAAGTCGATATCTTTTATAGATTCAGAGATAGACCCCAAGAGCCCCCCCTGCCCCCCAAATTTTCATTAAAAAGTCGATATCTTTTATAGATTCAGAGATAGACCCCAAGAGCCCCCCCTGCCCCCCAAATTTTCATTAAAAAGTCGATATCTTTTATAGATTCAGAGATAGACCCCAAGAGCCCCCCCTGCCCCCCAAATTTTCATTAAAAAGTCGATATTTCCCCTAGATTCAGAGATAGATCTCAAGAGCCCCCTCTGCCCCTCTTTTTTGAAGAAAAAATTCAGGAGTCTGGAATGAAATTTCAAAATTTCTGGAAATAAGAAAAAAATTAGCATGGAGTTTAGAAGCAAGGAATTCTTAAAAACAATCCCGAAATTGATTAAATTCTTTCATCCAACCAAGGATAAAATTTAAGAACCGGGGTTTCTAAAATTTAGAAACCAGTTTCTAAAATTTAAGAACTTTTTTTCTCTGTGAAGGGCTCTGATGGGGCCATATGGCGGAGGGGGGGGGGTCCTGAGGATCACGAAAGTCGTACGGATCATGAGGGTCAGTATTGACGACAAAGAGGGTCAAAATAAGGGTCACAAAATTCAGAATGCAATTAAAAAAAATTGCAATTAAAAGACAATATCCATTCGGAAGCATATTGCTAATTTATTAGCAAAAATAGACAAAATAGTTCAAAAAAATCATGAACAATGTCCCACTTGTTTCCTTTAAAGTGAGTGGAAAACCGAAAAATTCTGCTAAATGAACGCCTAAATTTTCAGGACAGTAACACCGAATGCGATTTAGAGGGAGGGGCAGGGGGAATTATATAATTCCAGATGCAATTGTGAATTGAGCTCTTCGGAAAAATCCAAGTATCCTTTGATGACATTGAATTATATTCAATGGCATCGAATATTGAGGAATACTCTATTATTCGTTTCAGGAAATTCTACGTAACATGGGAAGCTCTACTATGTAACATAGTAAGCTCTACCATGTAAACTAGTAATCTCTACCATGTAACATAGTAATTTCTACTATGTAACATAGTAATCTCTACCATGTAACATAGTAATCTCCACCGTGTGACATAGTAATGTCTACTATGTGACATAGTAAGCTGTACTATGTAACATGGTAAGCTCTACTATGTAACATGGTAATTTCGCCTATGTTCATAGGCCAAATTACCATTGAGAAAGTTACCATGCCACATAGTAACCATTAGAATGTTTCATGGTAACCATTACCATGACCATAGCAATGCTTACAAAGCTTTGGTAATATTTACTATGTGCGGATTTTGACATAGCAATCCTTACTATTTAATTCTCTCCGTGTATGCCACTGCTTGAAAAAGGGCGCTGTCGTCATATTTTCGACCAATCCGCTGTGGTTATTTCTGTAACTACGTGCGTAGCTGAAAACATCGGTCTAGTGGTCTCAACTGGATTGCATCACCCATACGGTAGCCATTACGTGTTAAAGTCCTCTGCTTCTAATTCTTAATGATTTTAGTATTTTCCGGTCTAAATGTGAAAAAAATTTAGCGAATTCGCTAGAAAATCCAATTTTGGTTTGAATTTCCTATTACTTTTTGGTGTATTTATTCCGAATAAGTGATTTGCAAAACTGACGATTTGTGGAAGTAATTTCTTCTCGTTTTTTCGTGTTGATCGCGTTTCGGAATAGTTATTTTCATCATAAGGTCCACAAAGTATTTTCTGACGAATGTGGCTAGCCGAAGGCGAGGCCTATAATCACATTCGTCAGAAAATACTTTTGGACCGTGTGATGAATGCAATTTTTCGTCAGAAGGCCCGTAAACCGCGATCAAACCAAGCGAAGCGAGGTTAGAATCGCGGTTTACCGGGTCTTCTCACGAAAATTGAATTTCTAGCCCTCGCCTCCGAAAAATCGAGAGAAAAAAATTATCAAATTAAGAAATAACTCCGAGCTAACGAAAAACAAAGAGTCATTCATCGTTCAGTTTTCCATACATCGTACTGAGGTTTCGATTAAACGACTCCACCCCTATATACCCTGAACTGACGTTTTTTCGAATCTGCGTATGATTCCCACTCCCCCCTTTTCCGCCCCGCGCGCTCAATGGAAAAACTCTTCTAGTTCAAACGGTATATTTTCTATTTTTTTTTTTTTTCGATCACGTCATCGTACGCTTGTCATGTACCATATATCTGTGCAAGCTTTTACCAATCCATCGATGCATTCACCCTCCTCCCCCCTCCAAACCCCCCCGACCCACGCCATCACACATATATTCGTCTTTGTTTTCCCCCCATAGACTGTACGATTTTCGTATTCCCCAGCTCAGTTTTTAGCCAAGTCACAAAGCATTTTTAATCAACGCTCAACTCTACCATATTTCCGAGGGACATTGACACCCCTTTCTCCCCACCACACTTGACTGTCGACGGGACTGATATTACACTCGTAAAAGTTTCATGAATCGGGAGACCCGCCCCCACAGGTAAGCGGCACACAGCGTAGGTAAATTTTTTTATTGAACTTTTTCGTTCTAGATAGAATGGGGAATTGGAAATTGAGAATTGAAGTGATGGAGTCGTTTTTTGGGCAGTTAGGTTGGTGCATGGAGGGTATTAAGGTAAATGGCCACATGCTCGTCTCTCGAAAATAGTAGGAATGTAACTTGAATAAGCGAATAATTGTATTTTCGTCACTAGGTCCGAAAACCGCCATTTACCCTCACTTCGCTCGGTTAAATCACGGTTTCCGGGCCTAATGACAAAAAATATTGTTCGACACACGGCCGTGGGAACTTTTACTTCATGTCGAAATGTACTATTATGTCACTAGGCCCGAAAACCACGATCTAGATGAGTGAAGTGAGGTTAGGATCGCCGTTTTCGGGCCCAATGACATAAAATATTGTATGTTACGTGGCGACAAAAGTATAATCTGACTCATGTGATTATAATTCTCCACGGAAAAAAATATACCTGCATCAAGAATAAAATATACTTGATTCAAGTATATTTTATACAGTACACTCTCACTAGTGGCACGCATGTTAGTTGCTCATTTTTCCCTAATCCCTTCTCGGACGCTCGAGCGCTGCTCCCCACTGTCGACCGCCCTACCGCTTTCTTTTGTCCTCCGTACGTAAACACAGAGGTCCAAATAATTTTTGTCGAAACTAAAACTATTCATTCCCTCTCATTTTTCTTAGACTTCGGTCGGCGTTGGTTAAGGGGGCCAGTAGAAAGTTGCTCATTTCTTGGAAATGGTATCCCTACAGCGGTTTCAATGACCAACTAGCGAGAGTCTTCTGTACTCAATTCAGGTATATTTTTCTTGCCGCAACCGATTCTTTTCCTTCGAGGTCCTCTTCCACTTTTGTATCTAAGCATCTTTTTTCTCACGTTTTTGGAAAATGATTATGAGCGCGATAGGGCAAGAAGCAGGAGGTCGGCCGTAGATAGTGGCATATGTGGCCATCAAACGTGCGGAAAAGAAAAAAAAGAAAAAAAGAATTTGAACAATTGTAAAATAGTATATTTCGTAACGAGTGCAAAAAAGTGTTTTTTGGCGAGTGGGAGGTTTATATCACGAGCCGAAGGCGAGTGATATAATCCCACGACCTAAAAAACATTTTTTCACGAGTTAAGAACAATATTTTTCATCACAATGTGGCGGAAATTGGACTTTTAGGCACGCGGAGCGTGCCGAAAAGTTCACTTTTCGTCACATTGTGATGAAAAATAAATAGTCGTCCCTGACATCAGTAGTAACAGACCAAAAGAAAAAAATTCCGACCAAAAAAGGCAACGCTTCACGGGGACTAAAAAGGTTTGCAAAAACAGAGGTAAAAAATATCATAGAAATCACATAAAAATGACGTTTAGTGTAATTGTGATGCATCGCTACCCTTTCATAGCAATCACTGTTCTCTGTGCTTTATAATCATCTTCAATGTGATCGAAGCACAACATCGAGCCTATCGATAATCAAAACATCACAATCACGTAATCAACCTTTTTCCAATGAAACTCGTACGTTTAGTGGAATATTACTAATGATTTCAATGAAAAAAATGATTGAGTCTCCACTTACGACGGTAATACTCAGCACAAGAAAAATTGCCTACACCACATCAATCATTAATCTTCTCATTCAGGTTTTGTTTCGCAATTCATATGGTAATATCAGTAACATTGAATTTTAATTGGCTGATAGGCGGCATTTACATGAATCACTCATGATCTAGCGTTATAAAATACAGGGATTGTTCGAGGTGCATATTAGTTTGTCTTCAACCGTAGAAATATTTACTTCTTGTTTTGCAATTGAACTAAAATGGTCAAGTATATGTTGAACGCTGTTGTTTTGTTCTGCCTAATGGGCTACCTTTCTGCTGGGGTATGATATACAATCCATGAGCAGTTCTAATTTCAAATAAATTCAGTTACGAAATTACGTAAAAATATTTTTTTTTAAACTCATCCGTCAAAAAGTTCCATTTTTTTGACAGTTTTTTGTGCATAAAGTGGCGCTTTCTGTAACTTTTTACGGTAGTAAACGAAAAGTGACTTTTCGTTTACGGGATTCACTTGTCGTTCACAATAGCTGACTTTCTAGTTACAACTTGGGGTTCATTCTGATGGCACTGTTTAAAAGATTGCGCTGCCACCGCCATGTGTAGATATTACTCCACTTGTAGTGTAATATACTATTTTTTCTTCAGGAAATTCCGCAGGAATTTAAAGAAGTGGCCGGCGACATCCCTAAGTCGTGCATTGCAGAGACGGGTGTCACTGTTGGTAAATAGTTTTAAAAAATATTTGTTTCTATATGCACGTACATGCATCGCATTTGAGTGCAATAGAGGCTTGACGTTTTTATTCAGACTTGATTGAGCGTGCCAGAACTGGCGATTTAGCTGAGGACGGCAACTTGAAGTGTTATTTGAAATGCATCATGGTTAACTTAGGCATGGTGAGTGACGAAATTAGATGATTGATTGTCCGAAAAACTTCTGAGAATAATATCATTAATGTCGTCTCTTAGATCTCGGAGAAGGGACTAAACTTCGAGAAAATGATTGAAATGGTTCAAGCAGATATGAAGGACCTGGCGAAGCAGCTATCAACGACTTGCAAGGACATCAGTAAGAAAAATAAACGATTAGTCGAGAAGATATTTAAAAAAAAAATGAACATTATTCGCAACTTACACTCTAAAAAAAAGTTACTACTCACCAGTACTGAATTCTACCTGGGAGAAGTTTTCTTGTGAAAAGTTGGGAAACTACTTGTCCCAAGTACTTTTCATGTCCTTGGGTGAAGTACAATATTTGCTAAGCAAGTAGGAAAAGTAATAGGAGGAAGTACTTTTATTACTTCCTGTCAGCATTTTTCTTACTTCTCACAAGTACTTTTAATGCTTGGAGCAAGTAATTTTTCTACTTCTCGCGAGTACTTTTATGACTTGATTCCAGTACTTTTGGTTGGTTATTTTGTTGGGGAATTTCATATCATTAATTATCATTCTCATTATCGTTCTCATTATCATTATCATTATCATTCTTAGATGACAATGACCAAATTTCATCGAGGGGAGGTTACGATGAGTTTAAAAATCGCGAGATATTGCAGTAAGATTTATCACACATTGATGATTGATTATTTATATATGTTGAAAGACGAAGAATAAGTGGGAAAAAAACGATTATTTATTGTTTATTTGCCCCCAAGACCTTGAAAATGAAGAAAAATAGCACAGTGTACTCAATTTTTGAGCTACAGGGGTTTCCTTTTATAAATTTTTCAAACGATGTCTAGAATAACGGTTACGAGCTACTTTTCTTCAAAATTCGACTTCTAAATAGGCAATTTCATTCTTTGTCGCATAATGAAATTGCAATTTTCACACAAGATAGCTCAAAAGATTAATACTTCAATTTTTTTGTTCAATATAAAATATAACAATTATTTTGAGAATCATTTTGCTGGCTATTTCGCATGGATATTACCTTTTTTGTTA